CGTCCTGGGGATGTTGTAAGGGTTAACGGAGTTAACGTGTGTCAGTGCCTAGCAGGTCAGCAAATACCATTATCGGCTAGTCCGTCAGCTCCATGCATCTCTTACATCCCTGGACACTCAGAGAGCACTGCTTTTCTCGGATGCAAAGCCTGTCTTTGTTGGCCTCCATCTAAACAGGAACGATGACTGTGCAGAGGGGAGATGGGAATGTGACTCAGTTCTGACCTCAGCAGCCTTCACTTTTGCTTTTCATTTCAATTCATTTATGAGTTAATAGAGTCGCCACTCCACATCGCCGTTTTTATTAGAAGTTGGCATGAATGATACATACGTTAAGGGTATTGAAATGTTTGGAGGCCACATGAAAGTATTATGATCAGTGACATAAGATTATTTTTCTGATAATTGCTACTTCCCTTTCGACTTTACTAAGACTTGACTAGAGATTGAATTTCGACACTAAACCCAGAAAGTGCAGATTCAAACATAAATTCTCAAACTAGAATTTGGCCATTTCACCATGCTTAGCAAGAGTGTCAAACAGAAAGATAATTGGGGTTTTTAATGAATTTTGAATCTTCCCTGAAAGGTGGAATACAAGCTACAAAAGGTACGGCATCAAGCAGGATGAGTTAATTTTAGACGGCTTGTTCAGAATACATCCTGGTGGTAATAACTTTCTTCTCTGCTGTGATTACCCACCAAATTAACTTCATTAACTTTTCTCCTGATCTCCTTTGAGGAAATACGCCAAGGTCAGCTGTCACCTGATCATAATTTCCATAAGATAACTGGCTGGTATTCTCCAGTTTGATTATAGTAGATGAGACAAGTAAATCAATTCAGTGCAAGAAGAAGGGCAATGACCCATTTTTCTTTCCAAGATCCCAGCTAGATTTTTTAAGAAATAGGAGTTCAGAATTAGATCATGGCAATTCCTCTTCTCAATCTCATTTCGAAAGCACTATGATTTGATTGTTATCTAGAAACGAAGCCCACCAGCCGAATTCTTTCTATGGCAGCCAGGGCTGACTCTGGTGGAAACAATGCATTGCATTTTATAGAACATAGCCTGTGCCGGTTCATGTTGCTCCAAGAATGTGCAGGCTTTATCTTCTGCACAGTTTAAACAGCGGAGCACTAAGAAAAGAGCCTCTGGGGAAGAGGAAAAGACATGAACGAGATACATCCTAATTTGGAAGGGAGAAAAATGACAAACGAAAGAAAAATGCAAATGGCAGAGGGGCAAATAGTTTTAGCTAATGTCTGTGTCTCCTGATAATATTTTCGAACCGAGATTATAGATGGGAAGCTAAAGCTGGAAGATGAGTAATAAAAATATCTCGAATCCTACTGGAATATCATGTTCTACATTATCTTTCTTCTATTCTGGGGAAGACAAACAAAATTGCACTAATTGCCAACAAAGAAAACACGATGCTGTGACACATAAGCAGGAAACGAACCATCACATTCGCTCCAAACTACCTTGTTTCTCCCTCACTCCTCCCTAAGTAATTTTCCAAGGGAGAACCCTTGTTTGGGTGATGGGAGACTGTGCCTACAATCCTTAGCAATGATTTTCTCACTGCTGAGCATCCTTAGTCATGCATCCTTCTCATGCCCATAAATGGAGGGCAAGCCCACACTGATGCTATCAGACGAATTTAAACAGGGCATGTTCTGAGCGAACCCTCAGAGTCGGACAGACAACGCTCTTGCAGCTAACCCTCTTCAACACAAGAATGTCGTATTTCCTCCTCCGCCGGGGTGCACACTGCTGATAGCTGTGTGGACCCACTTGCAAAGGCTGTGTATACCGAGGGCGTGGAGCAGCTTTCCTACAGGGATAAGCTCAGGTGTTGTTCTGTGACATGAAGTTGAGGTCCATATACTTAGTGGTAAGAGGAGAGTTTATTCCTTTTGCTGAATAGTTTCCTCTTCATCTTAGATGAGAGCAGCCATTCACTCGTTCATTCAGTCATTCCTTCCACTTACAAACAGGAGGGCCGGGCATTGGGCTCCAGGCTGGGCAACTCCTATGAGAGAAGAGTTCAGACGATTTTCACCAGGCCGACGCAATCTCAGCTAACTATTAAACGGGGTTTATGAGAAGAGAATCCGCTTCAATGTTTACTGCCTCAGTCCACTTCTACTTATGCCATAGGAAGGTAGCATGAGGTGGTGGAAAGAGCAACGGACCAATAACTGGAGATTCTGGGTTCAAGTTCCAGTTCCGCCACACCAGGGACTGTGTGACCGTGGGCCATTTACTTAACCTCTCTGGGCCTCACTTTCCGTTCCTGAACAACGAGTGGGTTGGACTTAAGATTTCTTCCATTCCTAAAATCCTCATATTCTATATGGTAACACATTCCGCAAAGTTCCCTTTGTGACCAGAATTAGTCTACGATTTCCTCACTCATTTCCCTCTTGACCTCTTGATTGTTAAAACCAAATATGAACAAGAAGCAATACCATTTTGTCACAGGCAACAAATTGCCCTTCCACAGGAGGAACTTTGGAGGTCAGGCCACCCATTGCAATATCTAAATTCAAAGGCAATGGTATGATCAACTTGTGAGCTGGCGGGCTGCCATCCAAATGGATGGAAATGGTTGTAGACAGCCAAAATTCTTGGCTGGTACATTTTTAATAAACATAGAAAATAAGAACAGCATTTCCCACGTGGATTGCTTAATTTGGTACCCATACCACTGGAACATTTGCTGTTAGGGTAAAGATGATGTGATATATCACTTATTTAGCGCAGGATGGATTAACTTTCACGAATGAGAAGTAGGTTATGGAGTCATCTGTAAGGAATTTTTATCCTTGCCTCGTCTCTGGCAGGAGGTAGCTGGAGTCGTTGCAGCAAAATCTCCACCCCTTTTGGCCCTTTGTGAGACTTTTCCCTGAAACATAAGCTTTGCTGGATTTACTGTATTGCTATGAATGGACTAGGGCAAACTGGTGAGAATTCTTTGTGGCCGCCTATGTCTTATTAATACTTTTCCAAGATGGTTCCATATGTCTTCTTACTTTTCCAAGAAAAAAGCCTCCACAGCAAATGTACCTTGGTTAATTTGTACTTGAGCTTAGCCAAAAAGATGGAGAAGCGATGTTTTTTGGTTAATTTGGAGAATAATATTTGAAGTGCATGTGTTTTAATTACATACATTGTAGTGAATATTTCTCAGAAGACAACCTCATAGGAGTTACGACTTTGAATTGTGCCTATTGCTCTAACTCATCCATTTCTTGAGCTCTGCATTCCCCTGTCTCTACCTGCAATATGGCAACAAGGATATTTGCCTGGCAAGGGTGTTTTCTCGCCAGTGATTGGAGATCCTTGAATCAGATACTTCTGTGATGATAAACTGCAATTAGGTATGTGGGTGGAAATTAGCCTTCCTGAAGTACATCATGTTTAAGCAGAGGCACCGTGTTTTTTAGTACCTGAGGCCACTCTGGTCCTGTACCATAGCTCCAGGTCACTACTTCTATAGCACTGTTGGTTTGAGGCTGCAGGTTCCAAAGAGAAAATAACTCAGCATTGAGTCTGAAACCAGGAAGCTTTTTATAGTTAAAACTGGGCCACACAGTTCTATTATAGATAAGTTAGGCAGTGACCAAGTACGACTATAACTTGCTCATTTTCCTTTTGGAAGGATAAATGACCTCAACTGTCAAAACTATAATTTGAACTTTAAATAAAGCCCTGAAATTTTTGAATAGATTTCCTAGAGTCAAGGTAGGTCCTCTATTTTGGATTAGATCCTCTAGTAATACGAACCCAGGAGCAACAGACCTTTTCCATCCTAGTCAGCTTTTTATAGAAAATACAGCCCCTTCCTTTCTCAGGATTACCAGAGGCCTGCAATTTGCCCAGTTCCAAATTTTGATCATTGGATTTGCTTTTGGATACTGAAAAACTCCCACAACTGTACCTTCTGGCTTCCTAGACACCCACCCCCCTCTATTTGACTTTAAACGAGTTTGCTTTGCTAGCAATTTACATCTCTTTATACCTTTTAAAGGAGGTGATTTCAAGGCAGAATGTGAATGACAGAAAATTTGAAACTGTCGTTAGTTCACATCCCTCCCCGCCCCCCGGCTGGAATTCCCTTTTCGCTAATGACGATAGAAAGGGGTTTCGCTGCTGCGTCTCTTCCACGCCTGCGGTGCTGCGCGTCTCCCCGCCACTGCGTTTCCCCGCGAGTTGGCCGTGTTCGTTTGGGGATGAAGTCATCCCTATACATAGTGTGCATATCAGCTCGTTAAATCGGTACAGCACGCAGGGATTCCTCGGGAAGACGAGAAGAGGAGCGAACAATGATGACCATATTTTACATTTACAACCCGTCCCCCCCCGCCCCCACTCCCACTCCCACTCCCAACCTCCCTCCAACCCGGAGTAATGGCTGGGAACGGCGGCGCGGCGGGCGGCCCGGGATGCCCACCTATTCGCCGGTCCCGGTCTTCAGATAGCAACAGGGAGAGCTGTGAACCAGCTTTGCGCGGGGGGCCCCCGGCCGCGACAAAGGCGGAGTCCCCCCGCCCGGCCCGGAGCCCAGTCACGCATCTCGGTCGCCGCCTCCCGGCTTTCCACGCGGGTGCCCAGAGGTCCGGCGCCCGGGAGGTCCCAGCGACTCGGTCGCTGCGCCCCGGCTGCAGGGGAGGCCCGGAAGGTCCCCCAGCCTCCGGGGAGCGCGAGGTGGCGGGGAGGGGGCCGACGGCCAAGGACAACCCCGGAGAGAGTGGGTGGGGGGCAGCCCCAATCCCAGGGGGCTGAAGGGGGCGGGGTGGGGAAGCAACAAAGAGCCTGACGACCCCGACGTCGCCGAGCCCGCTCCAGCCCCTCCCGCTCTCCGCAGTCCAGCGGGGGCCCGGGCCCGCCGCGAGTGGGGAGCGCCCGGCCCCCCGCCGCCCCTCCCCCCGCGCCGCCCCCTCGCCCCCGGGGAAGGAGGGGAGGAGGGCGGCGCCTGCGTGTTCCTCCGCCGCGCGCCCCGCCTCCTCCCGGGCTCCCGGCGGCGGCGATCCCGACTCTCCTGCGGCTGCCGCAGCTGCCGGTTGCACACGGCCTGGACGGCGGGCGCGGGCCTGGGGAGCGGCGGCCCAGCGCGCGGCCCCGGCGGGCACCCCTGGGAGGGCGGCCGAGGAAGCTCCGGGAGGCGGCGGCGGCGGCCGCGGGACCGTTCGGCCTCTTCGCCCCCTCGCAGCCTTTCTTTCGCCCTCTCCCCTCACACTGGGACCGCCGCCTGGGCTTTGTGCGCGGAGATGGTGTAGCCCCCTGGCCGCCCCAGGAAGCCGCCGGCCACTCGTCCCCGGTCTCCCAGCCGCGTCCCCGCCCCTGGAGGACGGATCCCCCCGGACTCGGCGCCTCCCGCGTCTCCCGGCTGCTGGGGAAGCCTCGGCGCCGCCGGCACCATGAGGTGAGGGGCGCGCGGGGCGCGCGGGGCGGGGGCCGGGCGGGCCATTGTGCCGCGGGAGCCACGACCCCGCGGTCCTCGGACCCCGCCTTCCCTTCCCGGCGCGGCTCTCGGGTCTCCGGGCTCCTCTCCCACTCCCCCTTTTGTCCCTTCTCATTTCTCTTTCTCTCTCGTGACCCTCCCCAACCCCTTCATATTGGGGGGGGGGGGAGGGTCTCTTTTCCATGATCTCCCATTTTCCCTCAAACGCTCGTCTTTCGTCCAGGATTTCCCTTCCCGAATTCAATTTGCTCCCGGCTGCCCCCCACCCCCGGCCTCGGCCAGCCGAACCGGGGAGATGGGGAGGGGTTCGAGAAGCGCGGCGTGCGTGTTGCTCGGGAACAGGTATTTTCCCGTGGGTCCGTGAAAATCCCGTGCACTTCTAGGACACGACTCGCGTGTTTAAGGGGAAAAGGAGGAAAAGTTTGAGAGATCTGAAATCTCTGCGGTTACAAAGTGCTCCGGTAGTGGTAGGGGAAGGAGCTCCGAAGGGGGGATTTTCCCAGTGGGGAGGGAAGGGAAAGGATTTATTGGGGTTACAAGGGGAGGGCAGTGAAAGCCTGGGATAAGTTAGTTGTTTGGGGTGTGTAAACGGGGGCGGGGAGGGATTTGTTTGCAAAACCCCTTTCTCTCCCTCCTCCTGGAGCAGCCTGTGTTGCATTGCAGCAGCTTCTTCCCCCCTTTCCTCTGGAATCAATAAAACAGGCTAAATTTTTTCAGCCCCAAAGACAAGGATTGAACGTACCGTCGTAATCTAGTTTTTTAATTGCCACGGTGAAACAGACGTCGTGACATTTTTCTTTTCTTTTTTTTTTTTTGTTTGTTTCTCCAATTGAGGGAATTCAACCATGGTGTGTCATTCATAGGAGGTTTTTTCCCAGCCTTTCCTTAGCCTGTTGTGAGCCCATAACCTCCTCTTTTCGGATTGGCGCAAGACTTCGTGAGAAATGGGACTTGGTAGACTGAAGGCTGATCCGTTCTGCGTTATCATCCTCATAGGCCTTCCTTTTAGGTTAAACAATTGTGGATAAAGTGAATTACTCCATTTCTGTGTCCTGGAAGAGATAGTCTTACAGTTCATTTGGATTTGAATCTCCTTTGTGTTAAAGATTAATGGCTAACCGTTGCCAAGACCTTTATAATGTAATACAATGAGATTTTAATGATATAATCTACAAATTCCTTCGCTTTGGCTAGAAAATGTCATGTCATTGGAATTCTTCAATTTAAGTAGTTTTCCCTTTAAACTTTAGTTCTCTGGTTTCTTTTTCTATCACAGTTGAACGCTTTCCCATTTAAAAAAAATTTTTGTGTGTGATGCAGCTGTGTACTTCAGTTTACTGTGAATTTGAATTAATGTTTTTCTCTGGTCCCAAATTAGAGGTTTTTATTGTAGTGGCCTTAAAAATTATGTCAAATTCTGTGTCTCTAAGTGAGCCCTTTCCTTTTTGTGATTTTCACACGAGTTATTTTCAAATGTAATGAAAAGGTTTAAAATGTGAACAAACCAAAAAAAACCATAATCTTTGTAGAATATGGCTTGAAAAACTGGAGCCATGGATTAAAGCATGTTTTTAAAAAAAAATTAAATTATTAATGCCATTGAAAACTCAGAAATTCTAATATAACATATGTAATGTAATATCTTGTAATACCGTATGTGGCAGATTGCACCTTTAAAGATTTAATGCTGTAGGGCCCTTGCAGACCAGGAACCATCAGTATTTTTCCAAACTTTGGGTTAACTTCTCTCAACACTGAGCAGTGGAAAACAGTGCAACTGGAATATTTTCAGATAAAATGATTGTCAAGGGTTCTGATTCAGAGGTTGTGAACTGAAAAAAAAAAAGTTCAAGTTTTGGGTACGCAGTGAAGTGTACAGTCTGTATCATGGATCATTGTCAATCTGTCACAGATGAATTATGTCTTCTCTTAAAAGTGCCTTTTCCAATAAAAAGTCACTTGTACTTTTTAAAAGCTCCTTTTCTGCCTTATTCCTTATTAAATGTAGAGAGGGAGGAAGCCAGTGAAGCCTTTCTGTAGCATAAATAGAGACTGCGGTACACGGGCTAGAAAAGTCTGTTGAAGCGGCCTACGGTGATTCTTTGTAGGCTAATTTTGAATAATTGAAGAGCAGAAAAGAGGATCAGCTTTTCGTGTTGGAAGGCGTTGGATTATTTGGTCGGTGGCTGGTGTGACTTGTGTGTACGCGTTTCCTCAGGTGCCCGGAAAAGGAGGATGGTCTGGTTGGGGGTGAAAGGTTCTCGTGCTCCTGGCAGAAAGCTTGGGGATGTTTTGGTGCTTATGGTAGGGCTTCTCAGGTTATATTCATATTTGACTTCGTCTCAACGGTGTTTTCATGTGCTGTAGGACATCGGTGTTTTGCCATTAAAGCGAGTCTCTTGTAAAGAGCTATATTAAGGAGTAGTTCTGATGTTTTCAAGGCCGTCCAGAAATAGGCATGCCTGGGTAGGAATTTCCACTTGAGTTGGTCCGAATTCTGAAGAGGGGATATGATGACCGTGTTGCTGTTTCAGTGTTTGGGATAAGACCTCTGAGAGGACTTTAATTTTAGGGCTGGCGTGCCTGCTGTGATGTAATGTAATAATCCCTGTACAGAAGGGAACAGAGTAATGCTTTACATTCCTGAAACAATCTTGAAGGCATTCTACATATGTTAAAAGCAGCGGGTAAAATGACTTCTTAATACTTTGCTTAAAGGTGAGAATGTAAAAAGTGAAAAAGTGTGTTTCTTATACAAAAGAGCGAAAGGGTTGAGACCCTCCAAACTGGTACTTTTAGTGTACCGTTTAACTTCTGGGGGTTCTATTCTTATTTTTCATTTATTTAATGTTTCAACAAAAGGTTTGTGATTGCGGTAGGTATACACGTATATATTATTATAGTGTATGCCTTTTAAATTATTGCATTTTCTCTTTCTCTTTTTTGCATTTTTAATAACTAAGTGGTTAGTTACTCACTTTTTTGTTTGTTTGCTTTTTTAAAAAAAGTAGAAAGAGGGACTTGTGTGATCTAAAATAGTCGCATGTAGCCTAGTGGCTGAGCAGAGCTCAGAAGACTTTGTACTGGCATTCTTGGGTCCATATTAAATAATCCTGGAGGCCACTCATTGCACGGCGACTTTCTCCTTTAACAAGGTTGGGCCGTGAGGTTTTGTCCAAGCCACTTACCAGCTGGATGACCTGGAGCTATTTACTTTATTTCACGGATTCATCGTTTGAAATACGTAAAAAAAGGGGATAATTCTTTACTGACTACTGAGAGTCAAATGGTAACAGGAGGGAAGGTGTTTCGTGTACTTGTCAGCGTTATATACAGTTATGTTACTCCTCTTGTTTTGAGGCTTAATTATATAAACCTTTTGGGTAGGGTAGTTTGCTTCGCCTATCTGGGCCTTATCTGGTTCAAGGGTGGCACGCAGGTTACATTTTGCTTACTCACTGGGGTTGGTACTTGCTGCCACGTTGGTACGATACGTAGATGCATTTCCGGGCGCGGTGGGAAAGTGCCAGGACGAGCCGTGTTTGACTGGGACATGGGTCCCGGAGGGTGACCCTGGAGAGGGTTTCTTGGAATGCAATTATCTGTGACCTCGTCCGGCCGTCTTCATTTTTAGGTGAGGAAATGGATCGTTTCCGTTTCCTTTTTCGGGTATTTGTAGAGTCTTTGAAACACTCCCTGTGATTTTGCTACCTTTGTTTATGGTGATGATAAACGTGATAGACATTTTGGAGTGCGGTACAGGCAAGGCTCAGGAGATGCAGGTTTTCTGTGCTGACTCGTTTGTCGAGCCAACTGGTAGACATGGAGTTAAGTCTCCTATTGTACAGAAGAGTGTGTCAAGTGAGGTGACCATGAAAGGGGACAAATAGTAGTGTCCCGTGGGTCTTCATGTATACTCGTGGCTGTTGGGTGTGTGATTTTCCCACAGAGGTATTTGTTTTAGAGGCAGGAGCCCGATTCGTATTTTTTAATATTGTCATTGCCTTGCGTGGAGGCATTGTTTTGTGTGGTAGGTATTTATTATCAAGTGACTAAATCTTTAATGAGTGTGGATTAGTGGAGAAAATTTATCGAAGTGTATTCACTCCTCAAGACTTCGGATACCTCGTTAACCTATTTTGGAATGAGCAGAGTAATTAGGCAGGGCCGATGTGGCCGGCGTAGAAGAAATTACACACTGGCTGGCGGTTTTGGTTACTCACTCCACACACGGCTTCAATCTGTGGCCCAATTGTGTGACTTGTACAACACCGAGTCTTTGTCACGAGTGAGAGAAGTATTTGGAAAAGTGCGACTTCCATTTTCATGTGGTCGAGGGGAGAAAAAGAATACTTGAACTCTTCCTAGACCAACTGAAGGTTGCCCCCTCCCCTTTCCCGTCTTTGAAATGGACGGGTAGAAGGGGGTGGAGTCCACGTTGAAAAGAGAACGGGAACTGAGACTGGACCTCAGTGGAGGCTTCCCCTCCTAGGGCTTAGGGACGTTTTCTGGACTCCGATGTGCTTCTCAGGCCTGGGAGGTCGCCCCGGCTCATCCCCCTCCCAGCTCTTCTGAGTGTCCCTGTGCCCTTGGCAGAGTTTCTGCTGTAGTGTTTCTTACCTTGTTTGATACTTAACTTGGATCTGTCTGTCCCTCGTTATCGTGAGCTCTTTGAGGGCAGGGACTGCGTTTTTATATTCATCGTACCCGTGAAAGATTCGGCAGATAGTGGGTGCCCGTGTAAATTTTTGACTTTGACTGGAGTGTTCTTTTCCAGAACGTTCACTAATAATAACCACCACATTTTGGGAGCACCTGTAATGTTCTAGAAGCTTTCCTGTGTACTTCGGGGTGTACGATAGTATTGGGCATCTAGTAAATGTTAATAAAGTTACTTAATTCAAGCGAGCAAACAAAACCAGCATCCTGGCCACAGGAATAAGTGTAGAGTTTGTTTCTGA